CCTTAGCACTCCGTCTTCATGCTCGATGGGCACCTCACCGTCACCGAGCATATTGATCACAATCGAAGATGCACCCACCATTCATATCAGTTTTGACCAGAGAACGTTTTGAAAAAGGCACGTAAGGCAGGCTTCGGCAATCGCTTTGCTCGATTTCGAAAATGCAAAGGAAGCGGCGCGATGCGCCCGGCAGTAGCGACGAGCGACCCCGACCTACAAAGCGCGCGCGCTTCACCGAAACCCAACCCTACGATTCGAATTCGAGCCCGAGGCCCCAAGACAAGGCTATCTTCGCCGCCGACGACTTGCTATCCTCGTTATCGGATGAGCTCCTAATCCGCATTCTATCCTTCCTATCGACTTCTAATCTTCTCGGTATCTCGCCCGTTTCCCGCCGTTTCTACCGCCTTTCTGCCGACTCTCAGCTGTGGCGCACGCTTTACTACCATCGCTTCGTCTTACCGCGCGCTTTGAAGATACCCGGTTTTCGCGATGGGTCTGCACGAGACAGCAGTCGAATACAATTTTCCACACGCCGGACCGTCTTGGCCGACGGCGGCTGGGGTCGGAGAGATGCCCTGGGAGATTCCGTTGATTGGAAGCGTCAGTACAAACTACGGCACAATTGGGCCAGTGGTAATGCTTTGGTTCAAGAGGTGAAGGTCGGGGAATCTTTGCTCGAATCTGTGGGCGCAGGGAAGACTCTAGTCAAAGTGATTGAGGGTATTGCCGTCACTGCCGACTGCGTTTCCGGCATGCGAGCCTGGAACCTCAAGACGCGAGAACCCATCGCCCAAATCAGCTTCAAGGAAGGAAACCCCAGATCATATCCCACCTGCTTAGCGATCGATGCCCGAAAGTTTGAGAATAAGAGGCTTGATGTCGCAGTCGGGTTTCTGGACGGGAGCTTCAGCGTTTGGGAGCTTAATATCGAAGACGGCAGGTTTCAGAAAAGATACAAGCACGAAAAGTCCAGCAACGGCCGACTGGTGGAGATTGTATATCATCACCCCTTTATTCTCACGGCAACAGAATCAGTTCTGATATCTCTGTACGATTTTGAACGAGCATCCTCTGGCGGGAAGCCAATGGCGTCCAGCAGCCAACGAGACACTGTTACTCTAAAAGAAGGAGGGACTGAGGCTGCTGCGGAAAGTGCGACCCTTCCAGAGTCAGAAAGCCCCGTGGCAGCGTTCCCATTGTCAAAGTGTGACAAAGCTCAGAAAACATTGCAAGGAATCATGCTACTTCCTGCTCCTATTCTTTTGACTTCGCTCAAGTCACACACGTCTAGAGCCCCGTTGGCTCTGTCTATTCGCCAGGTGGCTTCGCATGTGATCGCGTCGATTGCATATACGTTTTCCACTTTGGAAGGATGGTCCATTGGTGTACAGGATCTACAGATACGGCGACATGGCGCAGGCCAGCCATCTTCAGAGATCGTCTCAACACGACTCGCTTTCACTAAGCCCCTGAAGGCTGCGCCTACTGGTTCATCGTCTTCCTCGACTGCGAGCCCGCGGCTTCCATTCCAAACACAGACGCCTGAAGGCCCGACGACACTGTGCTACAGCCATCCATATCTCTTAGCAACGCTGCCAGATAATACTATGATTCTACATATTTGTACATCAAATGCTACAAAGCTTGATCTTTCCTCAGGCATTCGCCTCTGGGGCCATACATCAGGCATCAGTGACGCTGAAATCACGACACGAGGTAAAGCAGTGAGCGTCAGCTCTCGAGGCGAAGAAATACGGGTGTGGGAACTCGAGGGCCGCGTCAGTGGCAAAAGTATCGAGATCAGGCCAAAATCAACCTCAGGCTCTGTTTCCACAGATATCGCTGTGCCCTCGCCTGGAGCAACGCCAGACCGTTGGGATGACCGACGTAACTGGGTGGGCTTTGATGACGAAATGGTCATCGTGCTGAAGGAAGCCATAGACGGGAAGGAGAGCCTCGTTGTGTACGATTTCTCATGAACGAGGTCGACGAGGGACCAAAGCCAGCACCATCCTGCCTGAGGCTGGACGAAAGGTTTCAACTCTTGGCTAGTTTAGGCAGCTGCGGCTTGGACATGATATCATTCGACGCTCGTATCTCCGCAATGGGCACACGTACGCAACGAGGCCACGCCCATTCACGAGGAATCTCACAGACTCGCTTGGTCAATTGAAGGTACATTTCCACCGTTAAACGAAGGCCTTGCCCCGGTAGCTAATCTGTTCCCATAAGTATGCAAGAGTAGCCTGATGCGGTCAACAAGCTTGTGTGACCAGCGGTCGGCATTAATTGCTCTGTCAGGCAGATAGGCACCAGTGAGGTGCAGAAGACAAGCCGGTGCCTGAAAGACGCAAACGAGGCCACGACAAGTCTCACGGTACTTATTCCAGCCCTTGCTTGCGTCGTTCTGGTTGAGAAGCTACACATAAGCCCAGAATCTCTACGCCGGGTAGCGGCAATGTGGAATAGGCGTCGGGGTTTGATCCCAACTCGGACGACAACTCCGATAGCAACCACGATGCCTAAAGTTCCCCGATGTCATCTACTGTCCCGAGAAGTTTGGCAATGATGAGAGACTCTATGTGTGCCTGTCATGGGCCTCAGGATACCTGGAAGAAACCCCGAAGGCTAAGCGGGCAGACCTAATGAACCGCTACATCAACAAAGCACCCACTACGGAGGATTCCTTGTGGTGGACTGCGTCAGCCTACAAGACTTGGCCATTTCGTTTGACTGAGCTTTCGGTTCGAACCCGCGGCTGTGAAAACGAGCGTCGGGCTGCCAGGTACACATGGACACCTGAGCTACGAATGGCAAGGTTTCTGCCATGGAGCCTATCTCAGCATCGTCGACACGATATTGAAGTTCAAGGGACAAAGGTTGAAAGAGGCAAGCTGTCAGGCCAGACCAGCTGGGAAGTACTAACCGATCCGTCTTTTCTAGAATGCATTCATGCCGAGTATTACTTTTACGCATTGCCACAAGCCTGTCAGGTTGCTATGTTGTCGTGCTCATTTCACTCCACTATAACCTTATACTGGACCTGAATATAAGATAGACCGCAGGAATCATTGTTGAGAGCTTGGCAAGCTGGAGGGATAGAGGGAGTAGACTTGCCAACGTTATTTATGCGTGGTCTGAGGCTCTTGCAAGCACTATGTTACTAGCACTCATTCAGGACTTCCAGGCATGACTTCTGACAACGTGTGGCCAAAGAAATAAGTATCATGAACGAATCGATATCAAAAACGGCCTTGCTGCTAGAGACCGAATCTACTAAGATAGTTGCACAGAGTAAACATAGCTAGTAAATGCTTCGGTGTGATTTTCGAGAATTCAAATCTCAATTGCAGGACTACCAGCGGCCAGGCTGATCAGGTTCATCAACGTGACTTTGAGTTCCGAGAACGGCGATGTCTTCAGGTACCCGACGATGCCTACAACCGCGTGGGAAACTTCACGACGTGAAGGGATCGTGAGGCCTCATTGGCAACATAGTGCCATAATTAGGACAGGATATCCAAGCACACTGCCCTGGCCAATGCTTCGAGGAATTCGAGAAGTTGCCTCAGTTTACACAGACTGTGGAAGTCGAGGTAGTTGAAGTGACCCCCCTCCCCCCCTCCCCCGGCCAGCACGCGTGGGGGCCTGACACCTTTGACGCGCCATGTGACGAGCTGTACTTTGTACAGTAATTGATAAAATCCGGTTCATTTCTCGTACAGCCGAGACATACTGTCTCAAGTTTGGACTTGGCCGCTTTTCACCTGGCAAGCTTTGTGAGATACATGATGTTCTGAAATCAGTGGCCAATTGACTGACTATATTCATTTTCATCAACTACAGTTCATTGACCCGACTTGTGTATGGAGTAGGGCAATAATGAAGCAAATTCCACCAACAATGTGCACACATGTCGAGAATTGTCTTGCTCTTTTGCTGAGGAATCCAGGCCCCGTTAGGCCCCGGCTGACCCACTGGGTCTACGTCCCTGCTTGCTAAATCAGGCAGGCCGTTTGTACATAGGTACGCCAATAGGTATACTAGTAGCGTGCGCACTCTGTGCCCCACGTACCTTCACATGTGAGAGTACTGAGGGGTGGGAGGAGTGAGAGGAACGCGGGTGCGGTTGGGAGTGGAGGGGATAAGATAAGAAAGAGGGGTGATAAGGAAGGTTGGATATCGATACCACCGCTTCACCCTTATCCCCCTCCTTGTGGCGGCGGATGGTGAGTGAGGGATTGTCGGTGACATTGACCAACCGCATTTGACTGTCTTGTGACAAGATCTAGATCCAGCAGTCAATGGCAGGCTAAGGCAAGGCAAAGAAGAAGAAAGGGAAAAAAAAGAAGAAAGGAAAAGGGACTGGAAGTGACGCTGGGTCAACAATGTTGAACCAATCATGGTGGTATATGATCATGGCGGTGCGTATCGCGCGTCTCGTCGATAAATCATGCCCGCGGCCGATATGAAGATGAGAACGATTTACAGGATGGGCCAACAATTCGAGCCCGTTGACCGCCACCGTTGTTTTACCCCTCCTTTCACTCCCCTCTTCTCGGGAGAATTGGGCCAGAAGACGTCCGTCATCCCTTGCCTTGCGATGTCGCTCGACTCATTGGGAGACGCCGGGAGGGTGTTGGGAAGTGGATTGCTGATGTCGCAATTTAGTGCCGCGAAGAATCGCCAAGGTTCGTGGGTAAGTGCGGTAGGTGTGCGTGAGGCCAGTAGAAGTGGTCAATTCCGAGCACCCATTTTTGGCATCTGATGGGGTCCAATTGGAAAATAGGGGGGTGAGAGCGAGCGAAGCCTGATCCATCAATGGACACAGTACGGCGAAGTCCTATTTCGATAGCTATCGCTAGTCATTCTCGTGAGATAAGATGTCCACAGTGGTACAAGGTGTGGGATGGTGGTCTCACTTGAGATTCGGGCCTCGTGATCATCTCGCTACTACAACGGTGAAGCCATCAACCCCACGAGGGGGAATGAACGACATGACGATGATGCGCCGACGGGCTACGAGCGAGGATGCGAAGGTCGAGGTTCAGAAGACGGAACCCGCGCCAGCGAGCGCCGTTGCTGCCGTCTCATGCTTGCGTGCAAGCCCCCCAAGCGGCGCGTCTCGTCCATTCCACGAGACCACTGCCCCGTAGTCGGTCGGTTGGTGGCAAGGAGGGGGCTTGGGGGGTAGTCATGTGGCCGTAGTCTTGGTCGGAAAAGGGTGTGGTCGTCGAGCATATCATTGACACCATCTCAGGTTGATAGACAGCCATAACGAGCAGACGTAGAGGTCGTGGACGCCAGCTGACAACGAGGATGAACCCAACCACCACCGACCACCCAAGGGCCTGGTGATGTGCTGCTGCACGGCGGCTGCTACTGATAGCGCCCGTTCCCGCTATCGATAAGTTTCCGTTGATGCTCTAACAGCGTCAGGTAATCAGACTACCTCGCCTGAGTTAGACCGTTGGACACAGTGCGCCTTCGGCCGGTTGGGGTCCTTGGGGTCCTTTGGGGCATCTCTGATCTGGGGGAGCATCTGGGGCGATGATCTGGGCTTTCTCAAGATTTCAAAGCGGCCCGGCTAGTCAAACTCGAAATGTCTCGTTGCCTTTGCTATCCGCGAGAACCGCGCCTCGGATTCAGAGCAGGCAACCAGCATCGATTGCGCGTCCGATTGCTGCCGAAAGAGCATTGGTCATTGGCGAGAAGTGCTTCTGTTTTCCCGCTGTTTCTTCCGCAACTTATCGATCAAGCCGTTGCTGCAAGAAACTTAAGGTATCGTCCAATGTCCATGTGATGATTGATATGTCAATGCTTCCTAGACCCAAGACGGGAGACGGTCATCTCAAAAACTCGCCTCGACGGCGACTCAGTTGCACATTGCTGGCCGATTGATCCTACAGTTCAGTGTTCCCATATCTTCCATCTTCAGACTCGCCAGCCGGTCTCTTCTCGTCTTGCTTGGGGGCTGCAAGTGCGAGACATTACGTCGTATTCTGTTCCAGGACGCCGAAGCGTTCTGGGCGGCAGCAAAGGAGCTGTCACTGACAAAAGTGTTTTTGCCTCTACGTCCAGCTGCCGTATCTCATTGCTGCCACAGTCATAGCTGAACTTTCAATCTATTCTATGGCGACGCCACAGCTCGTCCTTCCGGGAAGCTCGGGGCGTCGGAGGATTTAGACCTTGCCCCGTTGCAGCCTTCAGGCTTCCAGAAGTCTGCACTTGCAGCTTTCCATTCCAAGGGGATGGCTCCGATACTTCTTCTCCTACAAGGAAAATGGGTGTCTGCGATACTTGTGTCGAGAGATTAGGCATGCTCTACCATTGTGAAGTCGGCGTTGCACCCGCTCGCCATTTCTCAAAAGGCGATCAAATCAGCCCAGATTATTTCTCCTGTTGTCAGGTATGGCTGATGTGGCTGTGCCGAAGAGCATTCGCGGGGCTGGATCAAGGCTGGTAAAGATGCAGATTATGAAGAGGCGTGTAGTAGGGGAAAGATGGCGTTGGAAGCGCTGAGCTGGGTACATGCCGAGTGAGATGTTTGGCTTGGGGACTGGATGCGTTGCCATGCATGGTCCTTGTTCGGGATGGACTGGACGTACCTACACAGTAGTCACTGTCCAGGCCTTGAAAGACGGAGGTTTGCATTGGAAAAACCAGGGCCTTGTCAACTGGCGAGGGGCATCCAGAGGTGCGGGCTCCTCGCGTCGTTGGATCCAGGACGGTGCTGCTTTGCATTGCTCGGGTCGTTTATTCCTCGCGAATCCATCGAAGGACGTGGAAGGCGATGGACGTTAGAGCATCACTCAATACTTGCCTCGTCGTGCATTACGTTATTGTTTAGGTACCTACTTTAGAGAAATGTCATAGAGCGGAAGGGACGGTGCCTGGCAGTCAGTCACCTTCCATGGATTGTAAGTGTACACAAGGTCAAAATGGCACTTTCCAACGGAGCCATGGAATCTGACTTGGGCTACGAACGGTGGACAAGAAGTACCCGACCCCAAGCAGTACTTACCTTACGCTTTGCGGTTGTGCCAAAAATTGATGGTTCCCTAAGGTACCTGAGGTACCGCCTACCTATCCGTAGGCGCAGGCCGCAGCCCGCAGGTGCAGCAAGGCCCCACCTTTGCCGTGACGTCTTATCGATAAACGACGATCACGCTAGACCGAAAATAGCTGCAGGGGTCAAGTGTTTCGACTTGAGGCGCGGCAAGACCAACGAGAAGCACTCACATACTCCAGAGTCCAATGGCAGTCTCCATGATCCATCAATTTAGAGTCGCTTTTTCCCTGTGACTCACACAACCCAACTGGTGACTCCTGCATTTCGTAACTCTGCGCACACGGAAGAGTCACTCTGGCGGCTGGCCGCGCCATCCCTCCCAAAGCAAAGTCCATTTCATCGCCACAATCGATACCCCCACCTCTACTCACTCTTGGTTGTTTACTTTGTACAGTGCCACAAGTGCAGACAGCTGTGCATCTCTGCCTGTACTCCGTACGGAACCTAAGTATCTACGTACTGAGGAGGGTTGTTCAATTGGATTGGACAGGCGACGTTGTCTAGGTCTTGTTGTTTTATTCCTATTGGTGTTGGTGTTCGTTCGGCCCTGCGCTTCAAACAATGGGAGACTTATGGTAATCAAACACCTTAGGCCAACTCAATGTCAACGGCACGTGGGAGGCCGCCCAATGCCTTGTCAATTGGCCTTCTTGTCGCTCCGTAAGGTACTTTAGCTGTGAGGCTTACGCGCCCTCACCGCACTTTCCGCACTTTGTTGATTGCCTCTCTCCTCCTGCTGGATCTTCAAGTGCCACTCACTCGTTCCGTCACACGGTATTCCGAGCTGCATTTGTGTATTTTAGCATGTTGACTTGACTTGGACCCGTCGTCTAGTGCTCAAGTCTGCGGGGCTAAACCAATGTGCAAGATTGACATTCTCCAGGCAGGAGAATGGAGCCTCTGGATGCGCAATTGAGCGGTCAATGGGCCCACCCATTGGTCAATTGCTTCTGCCCAACATGGACGCCCTGTTCGCCTCTCCTTCTCGTGCCATCCCGTTGCCGATTGCCACGCTTCCTGCAGCGACTGGCATCAGCGGCATCAGCCAAAAGGGAAAACTTGGGTGTCAATGTGTGTCTGGACCGAATCGATGGGATCCCCATTCAGCATCAAGCAATCAGCATCCAGCATCCAGGGGACAAGGGGCCAGCGGCCAGCAGCCAGACGCCAGAAGCCAGAAGCCAGCCCAGCCTGCCGAGTCTGCTGTCTGCGCTGTGCCCGTCTTGCGATGAGGTGCCTTTTGCGGCTCCATGATCCTGATCCATCCATTGACTGCCTCTTCGTCCCTGATTCTGCCCGACTTGTTGACATGGTGGAATTGAATTGGCCGACAAATGGCCCCCTTGCCTTGCCTTGCCCTGCGGCTAACAACACAGCTGCTGCATCACATACCGTAAGATTGCTCTTCCTTTCTGCACAATGCCTTGCGTTCCATGCTTGCCAATTCCCCTGTCATATTCAGTCCGTCTAGGCGTGCCAGGCCAATCTGGAGTTACAACGTGTGGCGGCGCATCGAATGCGACAATGCTTTCCAAGCAAAGCTTCACCAGCAGCAACCAACGTAGCCTCTCTCTCTCTCTCTCTCTCTCCACCTCTGCCATGATAGTACCTGAGGTGGTGTACATTCTTCTCGCTCCATGGTTGTGAGGCCAATGTGCACCACCATGAACCAATCCAATGCGCCGTGGTAAAGTAAAGCACCTTGCGTCAAGATTCGTGCCAGGCGTCCCCCTGCGCTTTACTTGCTGCATTACTCTATCGCTTTGTGCGTTTGTTTGGGTCTTTCTGGATTCTGCCCCTCATCGGATTTGCTAGGCCTTGGCAAGGTTGCATGGCCAGGCCCCCAAAAGCCATGCCAATTGCCCATAATTGTCGCAATCTCACTCACTCACGCCTCTTTGGTGAGATGGACCTATTGCTAGTCTTGGTCCCGAGCAACTCACGCACAGCATCAGTTCGGACGAGTGTCGGAAGAGAGACCCATAACTCAACTCAATTCATCACCCAGACTGGTCAGTCTATGAGCAGTAGTCGAGGTTAGCTCGGCTCCCAAATAATTACCACGTAACAAACAAGGTGATGAGAAGGGCACTGGCAGAATTGCCTCGAGACTGACCACTACCGCCGAAAGCTTAACGACGCTCCTGCTTGGCTGGTGTGGTACTTTGGTACGTTTCCCGTGCCATCCCATCTTCTCAACGAGAATAACGCAGCCCGCCCCTCCTTCAACTATCGTCAATGGCAACGCCAATATCGATTGCCAGCCAGCCTGACTCTATACTTGCCTGCCTATTCTAGGTACGTTTCCGCGTCTAAGTAATACTGCATACCTCTGATCTAGGCTGCCAATACCTCGTCGGTCTGCCTAGCAGCAGTGGGCAGAGAGCGAGGCATGAGACGGGTTTTGATTTCCCTGTACACAGCAGTAGACCGTTCATGTGAAATAGAGTAACCGCCTGGTTCGGGCTGTTTCTTATTGCATGGCCCCAGTCTTGGGTATCGATCAGGTACGGCAGCAGAGATACATGTGCACTGCGGCAGCCAGAGCGGAGTTGATTGGGTCGGGCCGGATGGGGATTCAACTCTACCTACCTACACAGTAGTCTCTGAGTGAATGAGTGAGCCTGTGTAAGGACTTTGGGGGGGGGGGGTGTGGCCCGGAGCCTGTTGGAAGCTAAAAGCTGAGGCTGATTGGGCGTCTGGCGGCGAGCAAGTGACTCGGATTCGAGACCCAGAATCAGAGACAGGCTGTCACCCGCCCACCTCGCTTGACACACACCTCTGCTATGTGCCGTCAGATGCACCATTCGTAGGTTCGTTTTCGAGCCCGTCGTGCCCGTGGTCGTGCCCGCCCTTAGAGACTTGACCGTTCGTTCGTTGTTTCCTGGGCGGAGAAGAGGGCACGCACGGCACGGAGGTAAAAGAGGGTTGGTTTCCAACTTCTCAAACGCCATGACGGGGCCATTGACATGATGCGAGAAGCGGTGTTGGTGGTGGCATCAGGTGAGGTGGGAGAGAGAGAGAAAGAGGGAACGGAGGCGGTTCCGTCGCTCGTCGCCCCGAGGCACACCGTCATCATCAAGTACCTCCGTACCTAATCTACCCCACGGTGAGGCACAGAGTAGAGCGCGCGCGCGCGAGAGAGAGAAAGAGGGAGAGGGAGAGGGAGCAAAGACCACCTACCTAGTTGACGGCCCCTGCGAGACTCAATTGAGAGGC